ACATTTCATTCTTTTTCTTCTCCAGGCTGACTTCTCTAAACTTTTCTACTTAAATGTACATTTTGCAGAAATCTATAGACATGTGTTTTTTTTTTTTAAAGTTAATTCTTTTTAATATGTCATAAATGTGCATGGTACAAAATTCAAAAAATACAGAAGGTTCTTCCTACCATAACTGTTAGCCAACCAATTATTCTAACACTAGGTGACAGCAGTTGGACTAGTAAGGTACTAGTAAAAGTACCTATAGGAGTCATTGGCACTTCTGTTCAAAAGAACATGAGGAAAAAATAAGGGGTTTATTTTATCTGTATTTTGAAAATATAATCAGTAGTGATGAGGGATTGGATGGAAGGCATTAAGAACAACAGAACTGCTCTGTGGTTCAGATAAAAAGATAAATAGGAAGGAATAGTTTTGAGGGAGAAAAGGCTAATGAATTTGGTTTATGGGGTCAGGTATGACACAAAGCTACAGGAGCATTTCTGAATTAGGGAGCAGCCTCACAAAGACCTATGAAGAGGGAAGCGGCTGAAATTGTTCTAGGGATTGAAATAAGACCATTGAAGTTGACTTCTAATGAGGGGGAGAGAAGGGAGGAACAGATATTTTTAAAGTTCAATTTGCTATGGTGGGGTGTGATAGAGAAACAGTGATAACTGAGGACATTGATTAGGGTGCAGTTGGGTTCATAAAGAGAAAACCTATCTTGCGTAAGCTTGAACAATGAAGGAGATTAATTTATGTACATAATAGGAATGTTTAGTCAGGGCACTAAAAAAATAGCCAGGCTATTATTCTCTTAGCACTATCATCCTAACTCAGCTTCAAGATTTTACAAGTTCTGGTCTTTTTTCTCTAGAGAATGAAATTGTATACCTGTGAGAGATCCAGCCCAAATCTTGAGTTTCATGTTGACTGGGCTGACTATTAGTTTTAATACAACCAGTTACTTGAACAGAATGTTGTGGAGCTGGAATTGAGGTCAAGTTCTCTCAAGCCAACATAGCTGCAGAATGGGAAGTATCATTGGGAAATTGAGTCCATTGTCTCTTAAGGTTTCTGTGGTAGAAGGTGATCTTGACTGAAATAGGAATGAATAATTTTGAGGGAGAAAAGGCTAATGAATTTGGTTTATGGGGTCAGGTATGACACAAAGCTACAGGAGCATTTCTGAATTAGGGAGCAGCCTCACAAAGACCTATGAAGAGGGAAGCGGCTGAAATTGTTCTAGGGTTTGAAATAAGACCATTGAAGTTGACTTCTAATGAGGGGGAGACTAGATAAAATACAAGGTTGGAAAGGGAGGTCTATGTCTTTAGGGACATGCAAAACAGTTTAGATTCTGATGCAGTGGAAATCATTGAAAGGTTTGAGCGGTCAAAAGACATGATTTAGTATTGCTGTATGAAGATGAAAATAGATGGAATTGGAGTGGATGCAAGTATGGTTAAAGGCTATGCAATGAGCCAGACTAGAGCTACACTGGGGTTTGGGAATGAAAAAATGGGGAAGAAATATTTTGCAACTAGAGTTGATCATTTCTTAATCATAAAGAGGATATAAGAGTTGAAAGAGATGAGAGAGTTAAAAAGACTCTTAGTTATCTGTCTTGAATTGTTGATTGACTAGACATAACAAAGGGAAAATTGGAGGAGGAATAAGTTTGAGAGGAGGTCATTTTGCAAATGCAAGGTTTGAGATATCTGTATTTCTAGAATATGTCAGATAGCTGGCTAAGTGAGTTCAGAGCTCACCCTGAAGATATGAAGTTGGTATCCTTACCAGTGAGTTGGTATCAGTCCCTCAGAATGGGGGATAAGACACAAGCTTCAGGATTTAAGATACCCAGAAAAATGAGAGTGTCCTTCAAAGTCGCTAAAGTTTAATCATTTCTTTCATTTGTAGTTTGAAAATTCAGTTTATTATTTGTATTGGCATGATTTTTTTTTTTAGTTGATTATAATAATTCCTTAATGTTTCTGTTTTTCCTTGTCTTTTTGACAGCTCTTGGGCATCAAGATTGAAATAATAATGAAACATGCCTTTTATACTTTGAAAAATCTGCTTAAGTATTTGAGAACAGTTACTGAAATTACATTTCATTCTTTTTCTTCTCCAGGCTGACTTCTCTAAACTTTTCTACTTAAATGTACATTTTGCAGAAATCTATAGACATGTGTTTTTTTTTTAAAGTTAATTCTTTTTAATATGTCATAAATGTGCATGGTACAAAATTCAAAAAATACAGAAGGTTCTTCCTACCATAACTGTTAGCCAACCAATTACTTTCTCTGGAAGTAAGTCATGTTCCCAATTCTAGTGAGTCATTCCATTAAATGAGTACTTGCATGGTATCCTTTTCTATGGGCATACCATACCTTATTTGCCAGTTCCCCATTTTAAACTTAGGTTTGTGATGACTTTTACTATGCGGAAACATAGTAAAAAAAAAAAAAAATGACTGCAAGCTGTGTTATTTCCCAGAGTTATGAATATGTCAGGACAGATATCTAGGAGTGGAATTGCTGGGTCAAAGATTTTATGCACTGTAAATTTTGATGGATGTTGCCAGATTGTTCTTCCTCTAGAGGTTATGTCATTGCACTTTCTTCTAGCAATGATTGAAAGTGCCTTTTCCTGACATTTATGCCAATGCAGTGGGATGCCAAGTCCTTGATCATTGCTGCCAATCTGAGAGAGTTAAAAAGTGCCTATCTCATGGAACCCTGTAGAATTTGAATTAGACTTCTTTGAATTAGTCTGTATGATATATAATTGTCATATATGATTGTCAATACATACATGTATTTTAATAGTTTTATTTTAAAAAGCTACAAGCCATTTTCAGTTGACTGGAGAACATTATTTTATGCTGTATTTTATGTATAATTTTCTACATTTTTAAATGTAATGCAGCTGCTTAATTTTTAATTTTAAATTACTATATATCCTTCATTTTCAGGTTTTATCTGAGAGAACTAATATTGAATTTTGGGTTTGTGCCAACATCATTCAACTCTTTAATGATGATAACACAATTCCTTTTATTGTACGTTATCGAAAAGAACTCATTAATAACCTTGATGCGGATGCCTTGAGAGAAGTTCGGCAAACCCTAGAAGAACTACGGTAAGAAATCTGAAAAGGGGCGTTCCAAAGTGTAGGTGGAGAAGAGGGTATGTGGGACAGTGAGGAGAGACAGTGAAGAAATGAACAACCATGCATTTTGACAGTTGCAACACCTTGTTTTCTTGAATTTTTGTAGCCTGGATGTAGTCCTCTTCTGACTGAGGGTGTCAGCTCTCCTTTAATTTAGCAGCCTATGGAGTCCCTCTGCTGGTGTGTTTATGAATGGCGTGTGCATCAGTGAAAAGATGGTTTGCAGTGAACGTGTGTGCTTTCGAGTTTGTTATGTTATAGAAATGATTGTGCTGATGATGGCAAAATTAGGAATGCTGTTAGGAAATCAGAGCAAAACACTATTCTAAATCTTCAACAACTTGCATATAACTGCCCTTTTCATATTATAAAGTCTAAGTGGAGAGTTCTCTAAAACTATAGAATTTGCTGGGGAATATGTATATTTCCTTTGTAATCTTTTAAAGAACATGGGACTATTTAATACTAGTGGAATACATTTTGAATGGTTGTATCCTATTAAATGGGAAAGACACTATTTAAAAAAAAATCTGTGCTTCTGCCTCTGAACACTGTAATAGCTCAGAAACACATTAAATCTCTAAACATCTGTGTTATTCAGTAGCATTTATGGAAACACTCTTCACTATTCCTTCATCTATTGCATGTCTTCTACATGCCAGGTGTCTTGCCATTAATGTGTGTTCTTCAGATCTATAAAAAGGAAAGTTAAAAATTGGATAAAATCCTATCACCATGCCATTCTAATAAAAAGAAAAACACTAAGGATTATTTTTTACAAACTTAATAAGCTTCCTGTGATTTGTGGGAACTTGCAGTTTACTTATATTTCTACCCTTTTGTTGAAGGAAGAGTGAAATGATAATATATGGGGAATTATATTTCATGGAGGGGCAAAATCAGTTAGCTAAGAGAGAAGCACAAATGACGAGGCAAGTGGGCTCGGATTCAAGCCTGCCAGGTCTATGCTACTGCGGTCACGTGGTGGGGCATATAGAGTAGAGGTCACAAGTCCTGTCTGAGTGTCAGCTCTGCACCTCTCCAGCAGATTACTGACATGCAGGGTGATCTTCTCAGTGGATACATTTTCCTGCTTCTGAAAAGAAGGTGTTACTCTGATTTTTTTGTGAAAGGTTTCTGGGCCAAGCAAACCATCTACAACCACATTTGGAAATCCAGCGTTTGCAAATTCTGAAGTGAACTTTCTTTTTCTTCACTAATGAAATAAGGACTCTACTTATATTCCATAAAATAAAATACAGTTAGAATAATTTATTACAAATATTAAAGATTCTGTTTTGGTTTTATGAGATATAAGTAGACTCCTTACTTCATTATTATTAATTTTTCTATTAAAAATACTTGCACAAAGTACTTGTTCACAAAATACTTCTTTACAAATAGAATAAAGAACATATGTACCATGGCGAAGCCCATAGATGCTACCTTAATTAAATGGTCAAAGTTAATGAGTAATGGGGAAGTGAAACTAATTTGCCACCTCATTGGCTATATAGTAAGAAGAACACAGTATGATTTCTGTGATATTTTTCTCATTATACCATCTGAACCAAATTGTGGGCAATATCAGAGAAACCTAAGCAGGGGGGTGTCCTGCACAAAACAAGTCTGTAACAGTCTAAATCAGAGCTTTGCAAATGAGAGAGATCCACTGTTGTAGCTTGAAAGAGACTATAGACACCTGGTAAGTACATGTAACCTATGACTCTTAATTGAAGTCACATTATTGGAACAGTGGTGAAAACAATGATTTTTGAGGTTTAGATTATAGTAGCATATAGTATTAATTATCTGATTTTGATGACTAGTGCTGTTATGTAGAAGGAAATTTATTTATATAAAATGCACATTAAATTATTTGGGAGTGATGACAAATTATTCTCAAATAAGGGGTCAGATAGTTCTTATCACTTCACCTATAACTTTTCTGGAAGTTTGAAGTAACTTCAAAAAGATAGTTTTGACAAATCAATCTTGTATGTTACAAAAGTTTTTATTTTCAGGGCTGTTGCAAAGAAGGCTCATAGTACAATCCAAAAAATTAAGAAGGAGGGGAAGATGTCTGAGTGCTTGTTAAAAGCCTTACTGAACTGTAAAACTTTTGAAGAACTAGAACATGTGGTAAGGAACCATTTTTTAAATCTTTTTTTTTAAGATTTATTTATTCATACAGAATCAAATTATAATCAGGTATCATATTAAAAGATTTAAAGGCCCTCCCGGGTGGCGCAGCAGGTTAAAGCACAGCACTAAGAAGCTAAAGCCACTTCGCATGAGTTCGATCCCCGCCTGCCCCAGAGGTGACCACATGGTGTGGCAGACCTCTCCTGACCCGCCCACTGTTCCCCTCAGCAGTGTACTTCATCTATCTGCCTGTTTTGCTCCCTGCTCTGTGTGTGGTGAATCCTCTCATCATCTCTGCACCTCTGGCCTGTACCCCAGTTCTGTATCCATAAATAAATAAATAAATAAAAAGAATAACCAGTATGTGGAAAGTGAAGGTATGGGAGACTCGGAGAGGGAGGCGGGAGGGTTCAATAACTCATAGTTAAAAAATTAAAGTAGCAGGGAAGTTTGGCAAGGTAAGGGTTGACAAAAGTGTGCTTGGTAGTTTGGGTATCCCTGAATCTTTTGATGCCACTTTCAGCAAGGCTGTGTAAAGAAAACCTGATGGGGCAGGCTGAGGTGTCAATGTGGACTAAGAAGCGGAAGCACCATGTTGAGGGCTTGCAGAGGCGCTTGTTTGTGCTGAAGAGAAGTTTGGGTCCTTGCACTTGAGGCTCTGAGGTTTTAGGATGAATAAATCCCATGATTACTTTTTTTTGTGATCAGCTGAGTAACTGTCTTCATAAAGAATCAGATGAGTACTGTCTTCATACAGCTAGAATTACTAGCTAGAAGAAGAAAGGGTTGAGAAAAGATGTCATTAGCATCCTCACCAGTGAGTCCTTTACTGTTGTGTCCTAATTTTGACTTTTGCTTTTTAAAACGGAATGAAATGATATATTTTCTGCCTTTTTTTTTTTTTTTTAGTCGGCTCCATATAAAACTGGCAGCAAAGGCACCAAAGCTCAGAGAGCAAAGCAGTTGGGGTTGGAAGGAGCAGCCAGGACACTGCTTGAGAATCCAGGGCAGCTCAATCTTTTGTCATACATCAAACCCAATGTAAAAGGTACTGGCTTTACTTAAAGAGATCATCTCTGTTTCTTTTCTTTTCTTTTCTTTTCTTTTCTTTTCTTTTCTTTTCTTTTCTTTTCTTTTCTTTTCTTTTCTTTTCTTTTCTTTTCTTTTCTTTTCT